TCAGTTTGGCAGTCTCATGGAAGCTGATCTAACTTGAATATTACTAGTATAAGACATGGTAAGAGCACAGTACTGTACTGGTCTAAGTGACACCAATTATTTCTGGTAAGTTTGGCAGTCTACATGGAAGCTGATCAGTTCTCTATTTCCCAAAGGGTCCTAGGCTTATCTTCCCAATTGTTACTCACTACTCTTGATACCTGATAGGTCGAGTAACATTCCATTCTAACTGAAGCATTCAGTAACAACTGGCTGGCAGTCCACAAGGCCACTCAGTAACAACTGGGATAAGTACAAGTAGTACGAAGTAACATGTGCAATATGCCACAGTAACACACACTAACAACTGCAGGGTTTGTAGGCACACTTATAATTGTTGGTGTGTCTTGCAAGTGCATTATTGTACAATTATATCCATACACACAAACAGTATTTGATAACTGATGTCATGTAATTGGTATTGTATAAAAATTGGCTGAGTCAATGCAACATTTTATGACAATTGGCAAGGAGTATTGTATAGTAAATCCTATTTGGCCTATATTTAAAAAAAATCTAACCTAAACTACTGTATACAATTCTAAATAATTATATAATGTCTTTTCTTTCTTATTCCAGCAAATAAGAAAACAAAACATGCATGGTCAGTTAGAGTTCTCTGGCAGTACGGCTTACACAAACACCGTAACTAAACTATACTACAGAACGCAATGTCTTCCTCTTTATTTTCTGGCTTGTCTTCCCGTTCCCGTTCCTCTTCCTTTTCCTTTTTCCCTTCCTCTTGGTTGGCTGGTGTGCCATAATTGTCTGGCTTCATTCTGGTCCCCAGCATCATACTGTGTTTCTTTACACAATGTTGCCTTTCCAGTTGCTATGTGATGATAGGGCAGAAAACAGTCCCTGCACAGGCTAATGCTACATTCACGACACTTGCAGCTACTTTTGCGATACCCTCCGGATCTTGTTTTTCTCTTGAGTTTTATACAGAGCCTACAACATTGGCCATGCTCTTTGCCATAAATGAGTGTGTGTCCCTTGTAGCTGTCTATTGTAGGCTGGGAAGTCACAAGCACTTTCTTTCGTGATGAAAAACCAACAACTAGGGAAACACAGATCTGAACTTGGAATGACTTGTGTGTCAATTTGGAGTTGGTTATCTCTTTAAATATGATCCAGCTGTTTGTCAAGACTGTATCCAACAAGTAGAAAAATATGTATTTCCACCACTTGTGGGTTTGCCGTTGTGAGGTGTAGTAGGACCTCAACTGATTCGCCCTGTCAACGCCACCCATATATTCATTATAGTTATATATTACATTAGGTGCTGGAAGTGTGTGTGTATTTCTCTTCTTGGTGGTTTTGTCTTTCACATGTCTCACCACTCTCTCTCCATTTATCCTGAACCCCTCTTTGCAAGTTGTGAGCACTGTGAACAGTTTGGAATCTTTCCAAACAATTACTACCATCTCTCCCTTCTGCCTTGAGGCAAACTGCCCCCTTTCCAGAGCTTTTATTTTCTTACTAGAAGGTTTTTTTTTCATTAGCACTTAGATTGGTTGGCATTTGGACGTACACTACCAGTAAGAAACATGTGATGTTGGTTCAGCAGGGTCACTGCCAATTCAGGACTGGTGTAATAATTGTTCGTGTATAGAATATGGTTGAATCCACTGATATGACTGACCATATCCACAACTAACTCCAGGGTCTTACTGTCACCTCTTCTATTCGGTATAGCTCCTCTTGTCATAAATCTGATGCAGTTTACATAATTTGACACTGCATCAGCAAGAACGTAAACTTTAAACCCCTTAGACCTAGGTTTAGAAATTATGAAGACGCTTGGGATACCTCCTTTACTGCCCTTATAACCAATAATGGCCTCATCTATAACAACCTGTTGGTGCAGGTGATACGACTTTACAGATTGTTAATTTTGTCCAGTAATGGAGCGACTTTGTACATAGGGTTGCGATCTTTTTCAATTCTGCGTTCTATCGGATCACTGATATTTGCAGGATCATTTTCAGGATTGCTACAATGAAAATATTGCATGATTTTGTGGTAACGATTTCTGCTCATGGTGCCAGCAATAAATTCATTTCTCACAGCAGTCTGGTTGGATCAGTAATCTCCAATTTTTATTTTGGGGTCTGATCCCATTAGAATAAGGATACCCAGGAATGCCTTTCATTTCAACATCATTTACTTCACGCCAGTATTTATCTGTTTTCCGTTTTTTGGCCTGACTCCATCTGGCATATTTATTTGTCTCACGCCGTAGTTTTTTTATCAAGGAGTGAGTAAATATTGTGTAAAATGCCTCCAGGGGACTGACATTTTCATCCAGGCTAACATTGGGTCCTGGTGGGTTTCCAGTAAATTCCTGTGACCGTCTGTGTCTCCTTAGATGTGATGACCACCCTTCATCATTCTCACTATCAGAACTGTCACCGGAGTATTCAGTTGGCTCTTCATATTTGTCTGTTTTTTTCCATGTTTCCTCTATTCTTTTTACATTTATACTAGGTCTCAGTCTCTTTCTTGATCTAGCACTAAGTCCTTCAAATGGATCTTCATCTGATTCCAATTCCTCTCCAGATGAGGAGGGAAAACAGTGGTCACTTTCTTCTGATTCCTCCACTGACTGTTCATCATCTAAACTGTCAGTTTCTTCCCTATCAGCCATACCTCTGACAGGTATCTGTTCCTCAACAATATCCTCACCCTCACTGTCACCTGTTCCTACTGTCATGTAACCCTCATTTTGCCCCTCTTCCACATGTGGCATTTGTTCATTTTCCCCAGCCTCATTGTCAGTCACTGCTACATCTTTTATTGGTTCATTTCCATCAACCTCATCACTACTATCTACATCCATGTCCTCTAATTTATCATTGGCCATCTCTACCGCTATATTTGCCATATCACTTTCCTTCATCAAATCAGGAAGGTTTAGATTTTCATCTTTGTCAGTGATTGGCCTTTCAACCTTAATTGGGGAGTCCTCCGCCTACTTTTCACTATTTAACCTCTGGCAGTGTTTAGAAGTACTTGCCTTTCTTAGGTGCTCATCCTCACTGTCTTCATATGTGGCAGAACTACTGAAAGGTGTTGCTCTTCCACTGTCGGTGAATCTTAGTTGAGTTCTCCTAGTTCTAAAGCCAACATTCATGAGACTGGCTTCCTCATTGCTAAGTTGCAAAGCAGCCACCTCTCTCAGGGACATCACCAATCTCTCATGCACTGTAAATACAAAAAAGGCAAAAAAGTGGTAAGTATGATTCCTCCAGATTCCTTCCTGTAGTCAGGATTTGCTATACTATACTGCATGCCAATTGTTTTTAAAAATGCATTGAAGTCATTGCCAGTTGTAAGCCATGGGCATAAAACATACTGCCAGTTACCACATATATTTCTACTGATATGTGCAGTAGCTCCATACTGCTTGTTGCTCTATCCCAACTGCTTTTCATTGCTCCTTAAGTCAGTGCCAGATGTATATCATAGGCATAACACATACTGCCAGTTACTAACAAATGCTTGGTTGACTTGGCTAATTGCCTTCTAATGCACATTCGTTGGTTTTAAAACTCTACTCAGATGTCTTTGCAGCAAAGTTAGGGGTATGGGTTGAAGTAGAAGATAAGATAGTACACCTATTCATAATATAAAATGTATGAACTTTGATTCTCAACTGATAAAAAAAGTCATTGTCGACATGTATTATGACAATATCGATTTAAATGGTGACAATGTTCGAAACTATGTGGAGATATGCAGTTTTTATGTCATTGGAAGTTTACAAAGGAAAACGTGAGTTATTTATAAACTCTACATTACTTATAATGGAGTCATTTGATTTTTTGCAGTACAGTGAAACTTAACAGCTTCATACTGTGTATGGCAATTGCCTACATGTAATTGATGAGAATGTTGTAGTCTTGTTAAGTAATGCAAGATCTCTAGAAGATTTTGTCCAGTTAACACAGGAAAATGTAATAAAAATAATTGAACGTGTTACTTTAGCCGTGAATGAAGATCTAGTGCTGAATGCACTTTTTAAGTGGGTCGACAACAGAGAGCGAGCTGTTGATATTCAAGACAGGGACATTACCTTCTGTTTCGAGAATTTCGTTCCTTGCATTAGGTTTTTGTCTTTGAGCAGATAAGCTGTAAACAATGTAATTGAGAAAAATCTTTTGTGTTTTGAAGAAGCTCATGAGTTATTACAGGCTATGGTTAGTCATCCAGAAATAGACAATACATTTGCATCAGATATTTTCAATACAGTTGCCAGAAATGTTGTTCTGTGGTAAGTCGTTTCTGTGTGGAGGACAATTCAACAAATTGAAAGGAATCAGAATTTGAGGGTGATCGGATTTCATTTGAAACTGACACTACAACAAATCTCGGTAATCCAAATGAAGGTATCACTGTGGTTGCAACTATCTTGGATCATCAAAAAAAATTAGTCAGAAAAACAGTCATTAATGCAGGACATAAAAGTACTTTTCCTGTGGTATTCACTAAATTACTTCGAATTCCAGCAAATGTTCCATTTTACAGTTGTATGTCAAGTTAGAGAAAATAAACTAACATCCTATGATTCACATGGTATAACAGGGAGAACAGTCACCACTTTAAGCGGTAATTATCTCCGTGTGACCTTCAAGAACTTTTATAGAGAAAATATGGGTAATGACATCCATGGCCAAGTGGGTTCACTTATATTTTGTAGCACTTAAGTTTCAAAACATCACTGCTTGCATGTGTGAAAGCAGCTTTTCTCCTTTCTCAAATTAGACACTTGTTTTTCAAATTGTCTAGTGAGTAAACTTGGGTTTAGACACTAAACTTTATATTAGACTTCAAAGTGAGTACACAGAATACCAGTCTGTAATTGATACTACTGATATCTGTTTATGTAGTTATGAAGAAGCCATTAGCAGAACCCCCCCCCCCCCACACACACACACTGTACTATGGACTTGGTATTTGGTGGTAGTTTTCCCGCCTTTAGTTTAGTGCAGGACAGACCAGACCAGACAACAGGCAGCAGCTATACTGAAGAGCTCTGGCCATGTAGGGAGAAATAGAACCCGTACCTCCAATATTCACTGGAGTGGACATTACTGTCTGGGATCACCTACAAGAGGAAACTGCTCATCTGCTCTGTTGGATGCTGTATGCTAAAGTCCTGTACTGAGGATCTCGCCGCGACATTTATTGTGTGTTACTGCCACAAATATTGTCATCGTGTACATGATCACCATAGGATGTTGATGTGAAAGACAGAGACTGCACGCGACCACTCCCCAAACCCCTATTTGGTGTCACTGCTTGGTCATACACTTATATATATATTCAGATAAGTTCTTATTTATGTTTTATCTTTATTATTTCTTTAGTTTTATGATTCCATTAAATATTAGTCTAAAGTTTATTTTTGTGTGCTCGTAGGTCATTTGGTAAACAGTCCATTTCTCATTAATGGTTCCACCCAGCTTCCCGAAACCGGCTTTATTTCGAAATGTTTAGCGGAATAGGACCCTGGCCGTTACACATGGTAAGTGTTTAATTCAATTGAACAATTTAATTTATTATTACCGGATTATTATCACAGTTAGTGAAATTTTAGTTTCCACATCACAAGCTTGTGACACATTTTTGTTACATTTGGTCCTGTATATACACTGGGGCGGGGGGCAATTTTAGAGAGTTCTATGGATACAAAAATACTGTACAGTATATACTGGGTGGTAATGTACATAGTCTTACCATTAGTTAAGTTCAGTAATCTGTTTGTTTTTCAGTTAAATCGAAAACTGGTATATGCCTTTTACCTCAACTCCAATATGACTGTAACATTAGTTAAGTGCAAATAACAACTTGAAAGTACATGTTCATCTCTAGTGAATTATGTTATTTAAAGTTGCTGTTCTTGTGCATCGCTTTGCCATGGTTTTTGTCTTTTCTTCATTAACTCTACTATTATTACTAAAGTACCACAAAATAGTTGCACTGAAATAAGTAGGTCATCTTTGTCTGACTTATGTTTTGGGTTTCCATCCGTCTTTGTTTTCATCTTTAAATTAGAAACTTGTACATAAAAAAAAATATGCTGTTGCACATACCTCTGCATATTAATTTAGTCATGGTGCTCTGTCCATATATTACCGTATGTATCCAAATCAATGTGGATGATGTTTATTAACACAGGCATGTATTTAGTATCAGAATTGTATAATAAACTTACTTTTGGCTATTCACTAAATTAAACTATTAAATTACTACATGTACTTCATCTCCAATTATTTTACAGAACAACAAGCTTGGTTAAAAAAATATTTTTCATATGGATATTGTCAAGTATTAATTTATTATCTAATGGTAAAGAATCATGGAGTTAATTTCAGGTAGTTTGCTCTTATATGACCTTTATATAATTACAATTACTGTATTTCCGCTATTAAAGACACATGTGAGCCAACAATGTTTATTTTCATTGCAATTAAATATATCCTTCTCACTAGGTGTT